ATCAAATGCTGGAGACTAATGAGCAAAGCATTAGGTCCTACTCCTGATTCATAATACACCCTATGTTTAAGCAATAGCTCACGACAGTCGGGTCGACAACCCCCTTAGCTTTGATATAATGAGCATATATCACGGCCTGAAGTGAGCTATTGCTTTTATAAAACGGTTACCAAGTGTGGCAATATGAAAGAAAAATACACACTCTAATTTAAATAGTTTTTATTAGTAAATAATGATGTTCAAAATAAAATAGTCCCTCCGTTGCCTGCACGAAACATAGTGTTGTTGCATGCAACAACACTAACAGCTAGCGAACATATTAGACAGAGAGCGTTGATCCATTATGTGGCTATTTATTTATATTAATGTGTATGTTGCCGTTTATTGTGCATCCACTGAAAAACTGTCCAGCATCAGTAGCATGGCTTACGAGGGTACTTGAGGTTGAGGTTGTTCTAGGCTGTTGCTTGACGTGGCGAGAATATTGCTCCACTTTCTCCGGTCCCCGAGATTGGGCTTCCAGTAGCTCTGGAGAGAGCTTTCGCACCTGTGGCCACTAACGGTCATAATTTCTCTGCTTTGTTTCAAGACCCGCATCAGAAAGCTTTTGAATTGTGGTACTTTTCCAGTTGGTCCTACCTGCTCTTCACGTAGCTCTGCATGTCGTAGTTTAGGTGCTTTTTTTCTGGAGATAGGCACTCCTCAATCCACTCCTCAATACTATAGTAAGACCCCCCCGGAGGTCGAAGTTAATCTTAAATGTTTCCATCTTATAAGTTTGTTTCGTAACGGAAGAAATGTAAATATATTTATAAAACTGACAAGTCAAATCAAGCAATCTGATTGGTCGATAGCGTTTTTGCGGACCTCTTTGATTACAGATTTGAAAACATCGTTGCTTGCTTTAAAAGTAGCACAATTCATTATGTTAAAGCTTGGAGAGTATCTAGATATCCCTGCCCTAATGCCAAAGGAACTGCACACTGAATATCTTTTGCCGTTTGATGTCCTGGACCGCTGCGTAAAAAGGAGGGTTTCTGCCCCGTTACTTCTCCGCTGCTTTCTTGTTTGCTTTTCAGCCCAACGGTATACTGTTTTTCTCAGACGCGGAGGGATACTGACTTGTTGTGAAAAGTAACTACAATTCTACCCGTGGTATACGCTCAGTATATCACGGCTAATAACCAATCAGATTGCTTGATTTGACATGTCCGTTTTATAACACTATGTAAACTGCCATGGTCCCTCAAGCTATTTAGGAAGAGAGCAAATGACTGTTTATTGCTGTACAGTAATATTGCATTTAAATGTAACTTTTTGCAACAACACTCATTATCAAATAGACGTTTTTCGTTGATTTCTTTTCATATTTGATTTGTAATGATGCCAAAATTGACACCTACGTTTCATACTATAACAATAATGGAGCAAACGAGAAACACTAAAGCAGCTTATAATTATTTTTATTTTTATGTCAGTTTGTCCTTTTCTATTTTATTGCTGTCTGTCGCTGCCACTTTTTTAAATTGCTTTATTCTGGAAGGTGATGTTTTCATCTGTCAATAACAAGAAAGTGGCTCTTAAACTTAAAGTCCCGTTGCGAATGTCTACTTTACATTCATTTCGTTTTTGCAATTCATGCTGAGAATAATGAAACATTTCTGTTTGGTTTGGGCATAAATCTGTCACCTTTTGTTATGTTGTTGTGGGGTTTATTACACTCTCTGCAGGCGCTCCTGCTCCTGTGTTGTTAGACAATTCATTCACATCAGGCGGAGAAATGGTAACAATGGACTGAAATGCATATCTCTGTGTGTGAGAAATTAGGGTTATATGTACGTTCTCTGATAAATATGTGACCAAATAAACTAATAGATGAATACAAATCTTTTAATCAGAATCCTGTTTATTTGCCACGAACAAGGCATTTGTTTTGGTTTGAATGGTGCATACATAAACAACAAGTTAGAGGAATAGTTTGTGGAAAAGGGGCAAAAACAATTGTATTTAAAAACAATAACAACTATTATACATTTTTACACAAATATAAATACACATAACACTAAGTAAAAATATGACAAATACTAGAATATAAAGTGGAGAGCTGTGCAGGTTTTAAATTGAGCTTAAAACGTAAGTTGTCCCTTTTGTATATTTGCTGTCTACAGCCTGCCATCATACACACTTGTATTTTTAGCTTGACACAGATTCTTGTATGCTGTTCAGCCGCAGAATAACCTTAGCTTCCTTTTATCTCTTTGATTGGCGTGCTGAGAGTAAACATCAGATCCTTCAGAGCCTCATCTGTCAGACGAGAGGAGAACTGGTGTAAACTCAAAACGAACACATGTCGCTGCTTCCTTCTGGATTGAGACGACAGTTCTGATAATAAAAACTGTGAACTCTGGCTTCTAAACTTGCTGAATCACTGCGACCTCCTGCTTTCCTTCTTAATGGCAACATTTCGTATAACTGCAGCGCTGTTTAAGGAGCGGTTCTGCATATATTAGCCATAAATCTATTCAGCTTTGACACTGTGGCCATCATTTAGCAATCCTTTGTCTCCAGATGTCTTATTTGCCTCCATCCTGCATTTGTTTTGGTCCTTGGCAGTTGTTTTATGCTTGTACCTGTCAGCTGTGAGAGGAATAATAAGCAGGCAAGGTTGATGGACCGTGAGGATTTCAAGCGATAAAAAGGAAAGTTAACCGATGTTGATTTTAACCCTTTCTTTTCTCTCTGCAGATGTTCAAGCTGAAGGCGGTGCAGCTAGCGGAGAAGCTGCTCCCGGCCTTCAACACCCCCACCGGGATCCCCTGGGCCATGGTCAACCTGAAGAGGTCAGTGACACAGAAACCCCTCCTCTTCATCCAGAGCCTGACACAAATATCATAATAATATATATAGTGTCGCTCAAAATCACTGACAGCCCACCGAGCAGCCGGATCAAACTGGTGTGGCTTGATTGATACATTTGGTCATTTGACCCTTTTTTCTTTATTGCTCTTTTCCTGGAGTTTTTTCAATATACTGAAAAATGTCTCGTTTGCCACTTTTGGCCCGTGAAAACTAGCTGTGAACACAATATTATGTCACCTTGTATTGATATAGACTAAGAAAGCAATTTAAATGTAGTGGAATAAAAAGAAGAATGGTGGTTTTTAAGAGAGATATAAGATAAGATAAGATAACCTTTATTAATCCCTGTAGAGACATGCAGGTTTCATAACAGCAAAAAGAGGCAAGGAAAAACAGGAAAGGACATAAAACACACAGATATTATAAGACAAACAATATAATAAGGTTCAACTGTTAACGTAGATATAAAAAAAATTATGAAGTATTAACTCCTATGTGCATGTGCAGGAAATAAAGTATTGGAGTAGAAGTAGCATACAATGGAAATACTACACTAAATAAAGTACTTCAACATTGTTCTAATCTTTCTCCACTGCCCATTTCTACTAATCTTCTTATATCATTTTGGTTTTCAAATCCAGTCCGCCTACACTCATGCGTTTTAACCTTTGTATTCTGATGAGACCTCTTCACAGGGCTGTGTGGGATTGAACAAACTGTACTTACACGGTTATCATTATTATTGTTACATAATGTGCTGCCCGCGTGTTATTCCCAACGTGGCTTCACTTCCACCTGACAATGAGTTGAATCCATTCCAACAACTGAACATGTCTGTGTGTGCGTTTGAGCTGGGCCTTCATTTTCAGGGTGAATTTGTTCTTATAACATGCAGTACAAACAGTTTTAAAGAAGTGTTAAATCAAACGTATAGAAACCTGTAGTCCCCCTGCTAACCTACAGCTTGTAAAAGTGCTCTGCTTGATCTATTTTCCCAATTTCACTTGTATTATATATTTTATTTTTAGAACTGCATAATCAAAAGCATTATCAGACGGTGAATTATTACTCAAAATGAGTCTTAGTCATTCAGTCGTTTTCTTTTACTATAGTTCCAGTGGATCAAAAAAATATATAACCCCCTAAACGCTGGAAATTAACAAAAATGTCACAACCTGACTGATCACATGTTCTATATCTACATCGGAAACCCTGTCAGCCTAGACTTGTAGACTCATTTTATTTGAATCCTTCATTATTCTTCTCTCCTCCTCTGCAGTGGTGTTGGGCGTAACTGGGGCTGGGCGTCGGCCGGCAGCAGCATCCTGGCAGAGTTTGGGACTCTGCACATGGAGTTCGTTCACCTCACCTACCTGACAGGAAACCCCGCCTACTACCAGAAGGTAGGAAATAGATGGATGGATGGATAGTGTAGATAGATAGATAGATAGATAGATAGATAGATAGATAGATGGATAGATGGATAGGTGGGTAGGGTAGGTAGGTAGGTAGGTAGGTAGGTAGTAAGATAGATAGGGAGATAGATGGATAGATAGATAGATAGGTAGGTAGATACTAAGATGAATAGGGAGGTAGGTAGGTAGGTAGGTAGGTAGGTAGGTAGGGATAGATGGATAGATGGATAGGGAGATATAGACTAGGAAGATAGGTAGGTAGGTACGTAGGTAGATACTAAGATGGATAGGTAGATAGATAGATAGATGGGTAGATAGATAGATAGATAGATAGATAGATAGAGAGGTAGATAGGTAGATAGATAGATAGATAGATAGATAGATAGATAGATAGATGGATAGATAGATAGATAGATAGATAGATAGATAGATAGATAGATAGATAGATGGATAGATGGATAGATGGATAGATAGATAGGTAGATAATGGATAGATAGATGGATAGATAGATAGGTAGATAGATGGATAGATAGATAGATGATAGATAGATAGGTAGATAGATGGATAGATGGATAGATGGATAGATAGATGGATGGATAGATAGATAGATAGGTAGATAGATGGATAGATAGGTAGGTAGGTAGATAGATAGATAGATAGATAGATAGATAGATATA